GAATTCATGCCTGCACATTCACTTTGGAACCATGCCTACACATTCCCGTCCGAAATCACGGATATTCATAAATTATGAATCCATGCCTGCACATTCACTTTGGAACCATGCCTACACATTCACTTTGGAACCATGAGATTATGAATTTTCTGTTATAAGATTATGAATTTTCAGTTATGAGATTATGAATTTTCAGTTATGAGATTATGAATTTTCTGTTATGAGATTATGAATTTTCTGTTATGAAATTATGAATTTTCTGTTATGAGATTATGAATCTACATTACATTCATAATCTCATTCTCATAACAGAAAATTCATAATCTCATAACAGAAAATTCATAATTTAATAAATATTTTACTTTTATGCGATTATGAATTTTCTGTTATGAGATTATCAATTTTCATTACATTCATAATCTCATAACAGAAAATTCATAATTTGATCAAACGGCGCCGTTAACTCCACATCCGCGATTTTTTTTTTTTTTTTGCGTAAAAACGACGTTGTTTGGACTTGTGTTCACCATTCACGGTGAACACGTTTCCAGGGCATAATTTGCGCTAGAAAAGAGCCATTGCTAGGGGTGGGAATAGGCTAGGCCCTTACGCAGGGGCCTATGGCTTAGCCTATTTAGGGCCTGTCCTATTTAATAAAAAGGCCTGACTTAGGCCTATTTAAAAGCCTATTTAGTTAAATAGGCTCAGGCCTATATATAAAGGCCTGGCCTACAAGCCTGCAGGCCTGGCCTGTTTATATATAATATATACAAAATATATATTTAATATTTAATTATTATATATTATATTTTATACCTATTATCTTTTAATATTTATAATAATATAACATACTATATAAACCAAAGTATAGTTGTATATTGTATACCTTAATAACCCTAGTCAAACTCATCCAGTCATCTCCTTCATCGACTCATTGAGCGAAACGGCGACGGACTCATCCACTTAGGACTGCGACTCTGCGAAACGGAAACCTTTACAACGAGCCAACGACTCACGACTTGGCGGCGAGACGACGGGGCGACGAGGTGGTGAAGCGGCGAGGCGGTGACTCCGGTGAGGTTAGCTGTTCCTATTTCAAGTGTATCGTGTGTTGATTTTTGTAAATCAATGATTTTTTCTTAAAACTACATCTATTTCTAAGTTTTTATGATTTTTTTATTGTAATATATGCAGATGTTTGATTTAAATTATGATTTCCACAGATCTTTATAATCGGAACCTGCATGTCTGATGTACTAACAGATCTGGGAATTTAACCATGATGTGGTCAGATTTCAATCACCAAAAGCACGAATCTAAGCTTGTATTTGAGGTATATTCAAGATATCAAGATATATTATTATGCGTCTAGGAATTTCCTTTGCGTGGTCTATTTTTCCTTAATTTCCCGAAGTGAAATTTCTTGCTACCGGCGGAAAATCTGTTATTTCTATGGACCTAATTAAACAAAGTGAATTGAGGAATTAATTATTAAACAAAGTGAATTGAGAAATTAATTATTAAACAGAGTGAATTGAGGAATTAAAGAATTAAACAACCCGAAAGAATAAATTGTTGCTAGTGGATATACTTGTCCATCCAAGTATATCCAATTAAAAAAAGATAATGTAGTGGCTCTATCCATGTAAGGTACTTATATAATGTAGTGGCTCCATCCATATACTTTGAGTTTTGGATATACTTAATTTATTTCTATGGACCACGTTCATAAAACATATTTGGATATGCATCCAGTTTAAATGGTACATTGATGGCTCTGGCTTTCTAGTTGAATTGCAATGTAATAAATAAATAAATCAATGAAAATTGTACTCCATTCTTGAAAACCAGATAGTTGTATATTTGGTCTCACTTAGGCTCTAGAGTTGGGGGCTGGTTAAGCCGTGCCTCGTCTCCTTTTAGAGGACTTAAAAATTAGTACCCGCTGATTACCTTGTAATTTATCATGGTAACCCCATCCTCAGAATCTCCTAAAAAATAGAAGCTTATATTTCAATTAATTTTGTGATTTTCTAGTTGGTAGACTAAATTTCATTGTCCAATTCTTTGCTTGCTGTGACCATGAATTTGCTGATTCATTGTCTCTTTCGATATCTTTAGGATGGACCTTAGGCAGGGCAGTCTATTCCTCATGTTCATGTTCACATCATCCCTCGCAAAAGTGGTGACTTTGAGAAAAATGATGAAATTTATGATGTTGTAAGGATCAAAATCTGCATTGTTTTGCTATTTTCAACTCTTTGCTTCATTTGCTGATAATTATCAATACTTTGCGCATGGTTCAGTTGGATGGAAAAGAGAAGGAACTGAAGCAATCTCTTGATTTAGATAAGGAAAGGATGGACATAAGCATGGAGGAGATGGCTCAAGAGGCTGATGAATACAAAAAAAAAAAAAAAAAAAAAAAAAAAAAAAAAAAAAAAACCTCTTTTTGTGAATATAATAGAAATATCCTAATATTTTGATTGTTGCTAAATGCTAATAGTGGTTTTGGATAATCGAGTCTGGTTTATCCAGAGTTCTCTTGTTTGGTGACCAATTTCAATTGAACCTTGTGCAATTTATGCCAGGCCTAGACTTTAGATTTTCCTGACAGGCCCATGCCTAATTTTCAAAAGTCTGACTCGACCTGGCCTATTTCCACCCCTAGCCATTGCAGACAGCAACAGCTTTAACCTATCAATATGTAAGGTTTACACAACCACGTAGGAAATAAAATTGTTTAAGGTTATTTAGGTTCTGAAATAGAGTGATATAAGAGCTTAGGTTGTAAAATCTTGGTCATAGGATTTTGAATTTATTATGCTCTGCTATAAAGTGGTATCAGAGCCTACGTTGCGAGATCTTGGACGTAGGAAACAAACTTGGTTAGGCTAAATTACAAGGTGGTTATAGAAATTAAAAATTGGCTATGAATTTAAAATTTGGAACAACCGCGGAGAGGATGTGTGTCATGACATTTCATACTAATATAGTTGAATGATTATTTTCTAAAGCAACATCCATTGAACTCTCCACGGTGTGCTTTGAGCTATACCAACTGTTAAGATTAGATTTTAGGAAAGGTTTAGATTTAAAAATTCGTGGCTAAAATAAAATCAGTGTCTAAAATAATTCAACATTACATGCAATTTCTTTGTTCAATTAAGATTATATTCAAAGTGGTATCAGAGTTTAGATTACAAAATTTTAGGCATAGGAAACAGAATTATTTAGGCTCTGATACAAAATAGTATCATAGCTTAGTTGTGAATTTTGGGCATATGTAATAAAATTGGTTAGAATTTGATAGATATCAGAGCTTAGGATGCGAAATTTTGGGTATAGGAATATATTGGCCAACTTGGGATGTATTTAAATGTAATTCTTGGTTTTGATCCATTACTTGACTACGTGGTGTCGTCGTTTGTGCTTAAAAGTGTCTAAACATGGTTTCGGGTTCCACGAAAGATCTTGGGACCAAAGTATTGCAAAAGAGTCAGTGGGGGGTAGGTGGGGGTAGGGGAACCCGCCACCTACCCGCTGCCCCTAAGGGTGTCGCCGGCAGCGGGCAGCCGGCGGGCAGGCAACTGCCCGCCGGGCACCCTCTGCCCAGCAGTTCGCCGCCGACGGGTGGTCCTCCACCCGCTGGAAATTCCCAATGTGGGATGGTGGTTTTCCCCGTTTGATGTTTCCCCGACCCCCGAGGTGTCCCAACGGACCCCATTTGTCGTGCCTGAGTCTAGTTTGATGTTTCGGGTACCATTCATAGGATAAAAGAGTCTTGTGTATTGCATGCTAGTTGAATTGGTATCCCGTTGGCCTAGGTGAAAGATGTATGAACCCTTAGGAATATTCCTAGTATGTGGATGACCACGCATAAGTTTATTTATACGTTTTCTCCCCCTTCCCAATGTGCTAATGTGGGTTGCATGTGCTTGCTATGTGTTATGTGTACATGATACCCCAATTTGGTTGCGATCAAATTGGCTATACGGGCAGTTGGATGGGTTGAGAACCATCGGCCGTTAACTAGGCTGGTTGCGATCGGTCAGGTATATAAATATTATATAGGGTTGCGGTCCACCGTTTGGTTGCGATCAAACGTTATACATGAGCTGCGGTTCATAATCTGGTTGTGATCGGTCAGGTATATAAATATTATATAGGGCTGCGGTCCACCGTTTGGTTGCGATCAAACGTTATGATGAGCTACTGTTCATCGGTTGGTTGCGATCAACCCCTTCGTGCTGCAGTACGAGGCAGGGTGCTGTGGGGCCGTATTAGCGCTATATGCGCTGACCCTCATGTATGGGCATGCGATTGGTCCTGTGGCGCCACCAAAGTGTGCTTATGTGTTGAGATGATGATAATGATATGAATGATGTAAAATAAATCTTGTGAACTTAGGATATATGCTAGTATCTCTATATGCATGATTATAACTGTTAAATGTACTTGTCCCTACTTGTTGAGTCTATTCTCGGTTTTAAAGCTAGAGTCTCCTAAGTATATATCTTCCGGCTTCAAAATGGTTTTCCTATATCTATATACTAGTGTTTGACCCGTGCGATGAACGTGATGTAAATTACATATTATTAATTATGTTTATGTTATGTTAAAAATTGGTTGAAGCAATACAGTAAGAATTTGGAATATAATCATTAAGTATATTCGGGAGCTCAACAAAAACCAACTGAAAATGGTATGTTAGAAATAGTATAAAGGTGATGGTAATATAAAAATAATACATTAGAAAACTACAAATTATTGAAAACTTCATGATATACAACATTAGTGGTTGAGGTTGTAGTTGAACTTGAGTCTTTTGCTATCAATATTTTGAGACCGTCTGGATTATTAACCCGAGATGCAGCTACGTACAACTGACCGTGTACAAAAACCGGTTTCTTTAGTACTAAACCTACATGAGTCAACGTTTGGCCTTGACTTTTGTTTATGGTCATCGCATATGAAAGCATCAATGGGAATTTCTTTCGTTAAAACTTGAACGGCAATCTTGGATCCGAGGGTGCCATTGACATTCGGGGGATTAACACTTTTGTACCTTTGTTGGGACCAGTCAGAATCTCGCCTTCAATCACATGATCTGCTAGCTTTGTGATTATCAACCGAGTTCCATTGCAAAAACCAAGAGAATGGTCAATATTTCTCATTAACATTACTGGTGATCCCATTTTCAAAGTCAGTGTATGATTTGGTAGACCTGAAACCCGAATGCTATTTAGAAACTCCGGTGTGTGTACATCTCCAAATATACCGTTATCGCCATCTGCTTTGCATACTGCGTCTGAACTATAGTATGACCTACTTTCGGCATTGTGCAACTCAGTCATATAGTCATTAACAGCGTTGACAACGTCGAGCGTTGGTGCTAATATGGCACGACCCAACAGGTGCTCGGGGTCAGTGTTTCCACTTGCAAACATAGGAAATGTACTGTGCACAATTGCTTTAATGTCGTCCCCCCCGGATGACACTAACATGTGCATTGGTATTTCAACATCTGCAAACCCGTTATTCCGGCCACCAAGCTTCCCATCGCCGATATTGGCAATCCAGTCAGCAAACTCTTGTAACGCCTGTCGGTTTCCACCATTTGGTACCGAGCTGAGCCTGAGGTTTTTAGTCAACCTTAACACTTTGCAACTATCCCATAGGTATGATGAATTGATTGCTGAAAAAACAATGTCTTGCCGTGTACCTTTGGGAACTACTGGAAGAATTTGGTGGAAATCTCCACCCAGGACAACTGTTTTACCACCAAACGTCTTCATTTCACTATTAGGGTCTACAAAACGCAACAAATCCCGCATGGTTCTATCTAAAGCTTCAAAGCAATGTTTGTGCATCATGGGAGCTTCATCCCAAATTATCAAGCTCGTCTTGATCAACAACTCAGCCAAGTCGCTACCTTGCTTAATGTTACAGGTAGAGTCCTCATTTATTGCAATAGGTATTGCAAATCTTGAGTGTGCAATCCGTCCACCTGGTAACAACAAAGAAGCTATGCCACTTGAAGCGACATTTAAAACGATTTGTCCTTTGCATCTGACTGCAGCTGATAAAGCTCTCCACAGGAAAGTCTTTCCTGTTCCACCGTAACCATAAACAAAAAATAAGCCACCCTTCTTGTTCTCAATATCTTCGATAACAGTATCATATATGAGACCCTGTTCTTCAGTTAGTTTGGCACAAAGGACCTCAGAATCTGTCTTCAACTGTTCCGAATCGTAAGACAACTCTTCAAAAACCAATCGATTTTGAAACAACCGTGAATTATCAGTACTTGGTGTTGGCATCGGGGGGTAGTCTTTTAAAGACTTGTTTTGTTGACCCAACAGGTTTTCCAGTTCAATTAATGCAAAGTTCTTTTTCTCTTCCGCTGTTAAGACCAAATCTGTTACAGTAACAACATCAAAATAGTTATAAGTATAATCTAGTAAAAATGTTGAAAACTTTATTGTATACTAAAGAAGTAACATTACCTTGTTGTTTTAATACTCTCTTTTGATAGTGTTGAGCATCTTCAGACAAATGTTCCCACACTTGATTCCAAACATTTTCGGGTCTAATAATTGATGATGATGTTAGTAAAACGACAAATAGCTTCCTCAATGAATGCGCACTTGACCAGTAGCTTGCTTCATTTATAGCATCAATGTACTCTTTATCATCGTCTAGCAATCCATGAGCATAACACGCATCTCTAAAGGTTAAGTACTCAACACTGTTAACTGTCCTAATATCTTTGTAACTTGTTGGACCACGGACTATGTTCAATAGACACCTCAAATAATATATTTCCCCTGAAGCTGGAGGCACATAGAATATTCTACCAATTGAGGAACCCTTCTTTCTTGGATGCCATTCACGGATGTCCTTCTTCCACACAAATTTGGTAGGCATCTCGATGTACGTCAGTAAACTCGCTTCTTTGAAATTCTGATTGGCTACAAACCATGCATTAAACATACTTTACCCAACGGTTTCCCTATTGAGGACATTATCAATCGTATCATCGTCTTGGAAAACAACTGATTGGCAGTCCGGCAAGTGAAAGCTTAATCGCTCAACCGGGGGAGTTCTGTACTGTATTTCAAAACTAAACAACCTCCATGTTACCTCACATGCAGATACGTATCTGCAATCATAGTACATGTTTATCTCATCGACAATCTCGTTACCAGCTCCATCGATCATAGCCTTATAAAACTCAGCAGTGACCCGGTCGTTGCCCTTGTTTACATACTTGAATAAGTACTTGATTGACCTGGATTGGTTACACCACTCAACATTAATATGGGATTTGTATTTAAAGAGCAAGTACCGATTATGTGGTACAACATATCTATTATCCAAATCTATTCCATTTTTTTTTATTGTCCTTTTATCATCCCTCCTCCGATACAACAGGTAACCATCTTGGTCAAAATGCGATGCATCAATGTATCTTTTTGGAAAATGCTTTGAACACTTGCCATTTGCCATGCACGGGGATTTGATTCTGGCAGCACCACACGGGCCATGCAACATGAATTCTCCAACATGTTTGTAGTATTCATTCTCTGTCACCTTGTCAGGGATCTCGGCTGAAATGATCGTGTCCATAAAGGCCGGGTCTGCAAATTCGCTGTTCGCTTGGAGGAATAGTAATATGTGAGCATGCGGAAGACCACGTTTCTGGAACTCAATTGTGTATATAACTGTCAATCATGTATTGATATTGTCAGTTATAAGGTTACTATATTAATTATTAAGCGAAAAAAACACTTCTTATGAACTACGTTACACACCTGCCTTTACGCGACCAAATAGTTTCCCATTTTTTATTTCCTTTATTAAACAGTCTAGCTTCATTTTGAAAACACGGCAAACAATGTCCGGGCGATCTTCAGCTTTCAAGTTTCTTTTCTCCAAGAAGCGTTCTATCTCAGGCCATTTAGGATTACATGTAAATGTAATAAAAAGATTGGGATAGCCTATAAATCTACAAATTACCATGGCATCTTGGTAGTTTTGTATCATGTACCTTGCTCCTCCAGTGAAACTTGATGGTAATATTATTCTTTTACCTTGAGAACTGGGTTGAACTTCACCTCGCGTCAGCGCATCAGAGAGACCTTTGTAGGCCTCACACCTCAAAGCTTTTTGATTTAACCGAATATAGAGTAACCTCGAAGATTCAACCATAGTATATGCATCAACCAAGAATTGCTGGAATAACCTTTTAGCATACATTATAGTTGAAATCTCATTTGATCTTTCGTGTATACGGATCGCGAAGTACTCTCTTTGTGAAACACTCTTTTCTTGAAAAGTCTTGTTTAGTACCATGTGTAGCAAAATGTATATCTTCCCTGAAACCATCCTCTCCATATGGAAATAATATTGGGTATTGCAATGGTAAATAAGCCGGGTTTAATTCACTTATTCGTTTCAGGACTCCGGATCTAGACTCGACAATAATATCACGTTGTCCCATGTAAGGGTCTATATCTCCAACAATGAGAGCGGCAACCTCGGATGTAGTTGGAAGCGCATAAGTTCTGGCATCTTTGGTCCTCTTTCCTATTAATCTCATTCTTATATGAGTTTGAGGATTAGATTCAATAAACGACTTGGCCATTCGGAATGACTTAACCAACACATTGTGTTCATTTAGCGTTTGCTTAATGTCGTGTACTACCTCAACATGCAATGTAGAACCATTGTTTTGCGCCCTAAATAATGAAGAATATAAAATATTAGATATTCCGTATTCAGCCATGATCTAACTAAAATATATTTAGTTAACACAAAACAATATACCTCAAAGAGTTGAATCGATTTTCTATCTCATTTTCTGTATCGTGAATGTATAATTGGGCAAATTTAGGTTGAATGCCAACTGAAGGGACTAAGCTCCCAATGCGATGAAAATTTTGACCATTAATACGGAATATAGGCGGTGATGTTCCGTTGTTAATAGTTCTATCAATTTTCCCACCCATGGACGTGAAGCAGAACAGGTTGTTGTAGGACCGTATATTCTTTAAAAAACATTTGTTTTTATCACTGGTTGTAAAGAATAGGTCATGCAACTTCTGAGGAGGCTTTGTCATTAATGGCAACTTTATCTTCCCATTGACACAACATGCAGAGTATTTTGGGTTTTCAGAACCCCTGGAATTGCTTGACCGCTCATTGTACCAAAAAAAACGAATTACAATGCTCGCAAACATAATCTGGATCACCAATATCAAAATAATAACCTAGTCAAAAGAAAAAATGTATTAGTTCGTATGTAAAATAATAATGTAAGATATTCCCTTAATACAAAGAGAATACGTTCTGGTCATAGCATATCACAAATGAACTCGCCATTATTTGAGGGCATATTGTCATGTAACGGTTCAACAACTTCCTGAAAATCATGCATCAGATTTCGGCAATGCTCGATGGGTTGACTCTCCGGCTCTACAACAACTATTTGCATATTATTGTCATTTGTAATACAACCATTACTTTCAAACCCTAAAAAAAACAATATGTCATTAAAAGTCAATATGATTACATATTTACTTAAACATTATAACTGCCTAAATTTAAAAATTTATCTTCTATCCCTCGATATATATTTATACCTATTTGCGAATTTGGTGTTCGGTTTAAGTCGAAGGCGCAAGTTTGACGGTTACAGGTAGGCGTTTTGCCGTGGTCATCATTGACCGTACCGCAATTTGCTATAATGAAACAGATATTTTAGACAAAGTTTGTTAGACTAATAATTAAACGATTTGACTATATACTCTTATTACAATATTTATTTATATTTGTTGAAGTTCATACTATTTGCTACGTTGCTAAACGGCATTCTGCTACTAAAATTTTCCGTTGATGTAGTATGTATTGTCCTTCGTATCCGAGAAGAAATTGTCAAAATGCAGAAACAACGACTATTATTAACAAATAAATAAGAAAGATCCTTACAAAAAACTGAACTCAAGGGTTTTATTTTAATATAAGTAATAAGTATATTATTATTTAATTAACAATTTATACCTAGTTGCGAATCTGGTGATCTATTTAGGTCGAACGAACGATTGCGACGCTTTGTACTAAGTGGTTTATCACGACCCCCCTCATCTCGAGCGCAATTTGCCTTAATCGTATAAAAGCCACACAAAACATATGTTAGAATGTTAAGTATAGCATTTTACTAATTCCATTCATATCATCTACAAAACTGAACGCGAAAAGTAATGTTTGAGATTCGTACTATTTGATATGTTGCTTAACGGTATTCTGCAACTCAACTCTTGCAGCGGTGTATGCCGAATTGTCGTACTAATTACGCTTGAAGTTGTGGATTACAGTATGAAGTCTATATTACCAACTTATTGACTAAGGATATACATTGTTTTAAAGGCCAAACTTACCATTTGTAACAATACTTAATGGCGTACTTAGCGAACTTTGGAAAACACCAATAAGCGGTTTACTATTGCCTGCATTCCGGCTGGATTCAATTGGCGACATATAGGCTTCATCAATGATATTACTATTCTCATTCGCTGCAGCGTAAACACATATATCTATCAAATATCATAAATCGTTCGTTGGAACACTTTTTGACAATAATAACAAATTATACTGTAATTATCCAATAAGAGTTCGTAAATGATGTCACTATTGTACTGTATAATAATACCGATAATTTTAAACTAATCTTGCAATTTTTATATTTAACCATATTATCACATTATTTTTTTCGTAATATGTCATGATAATATTATATAATTATATATCTTTTAATAATATAATAATAATAATACTAATAATAATAATAATGCAAATCTTTTTGTATAGCAATGTCTCGATTTTTAGAAATAAGGAAAATGCTATTAATCTTCGTAATAGTTTTATTATTTTTATTACTAATAACCTTTAAATATTAAATAGCATAATTGGAACGCATTTGTTCTTATAATAAGCACATTGATGATGGAGATTAATATTTGGCTAACAATTATTTATAAGAACAATAATAACCAAAATACTAATAATAACAATCATACTAATAATAGAAATCATCAGAAACTTTTAGACTAATAATACTATAACAATTATACTAATACTAATAATAATTCTAATAATAATAATAATACAAAGAATAATAACAGTACTAATAATAATAATAATAATAATAATAATAATAATAATAATAATAATAATAATAATAATAATAATAATAATAATAATAATAATAATAATAATAATAATAATAATAATAATAATAATAATAATAATTAAAATGGAAATGACAGTGAGATGGGTCTCGATGATGTCGCTTTCCTAATCCCTTGAACGCTCAGTTGTGAGCTCATTTCGCCGGGCAATCAACCTGGTTTCTCTCTCTAAAAATGGAGCTAAGTAAGGGGTTAGGGTTCGATTGGTGAGTCTCGTGTACTCTGTACTATGGATTGACGATGAAGATGATGTTTGTGTGGAGAATCGACTGACAAATAGCTCTCGGCATACTCGACGTCTGAGTGTTCATAGTACGGTCACAGCCACAAATCGGAGGTTTGATCTGGACTATCAACGCATTGCTTCGATCCGGTGAACACTATAGTCTCCGGAGTTCATGGGTACATAGAGATCGGACATTCTTGGTCAACAATGTGTTTGATTCGAGTCGGTGACCATTTTTCAGAATCGGTGGTTCAGCTATTCGATTTGGAAACTAACAACAAAATTGGGTATGTATTTCTAACCTAATTAATCTACGTTGTTCAGATGTATATATAAATAGGGATTTTGATACCGTTTATCTACTAAATATGTAGAAGTAATCCGAGTATACAACACATGCATATGAATTTTGCTAACCGTTGAATTTATAGGATGATTTTTAATTTGGAGTCCGAGAAGTTAGAATCCGTTGTTTAATAAGTATATTTTTATTATTTTTTTTACAGTGTACCCATAAATTTCTTATAATCTCTATCTATATAGGAAGACAGATAGCTATAATAAAGATAGAAGTGTATATAGATTTACCTTGGTTGTTGCTGGGATGCTTCCTCTTCGAACCAATGGTTGTTGTAGATGTAAGTTTCCTCATGTGTTCTTAGGGAGATGTATTGGTTAGAATAAGGAATTGTTTAGGTGGTGTTTAAAACAGGTGTTTAATCTCTCTGTGTTGATTATATAGTTGTAAAGAACTACTCAATTAATATTTGGAAGCAACATTGGAAACTGGCCATTATAATGGCTTTTGGAATACTGAAAGGGTTAGTTGTGGTACTTAATGCACCTGGAAGTCCATTAACATAAGTAGATGAATATTATTAGTAATTGCTTTCATACTAAACTGGAATTATCAAATTTGATTGGAATGTGAATAGGTTTCTTATTTAGGTAACATAATATCATAATATATATGTTGTTTTGCAGGTAGACAGTAGTCGGTTCAAGCCCACAAATACTTATGGTTGTGATAGGTTTTATTTGATAAAGATCTGTGTTTGAGACTGTTGTATTTACACATGCTTCGGGGGGGGGGGGGGGGGGGGGGGGCCTTAAAGATAAGTTTGTTGTCCATCTAATGTGATTTACAATAAAGATACACACGAATAATGATATTCTTTGAGTGTTGATAAATTATCTAATGTTAATGATGATTTAATTTGTTTAATTGTAATCCTCCAATTGCAGGTAAGCTGGTACACCTACATTGTATTTATGTCCAATAATTTGTGGATGCTTCATAGATACAAAGTTGGAGTCCAGAATATTGTATTAACAGTTGCTTCGGACGTCTAAAAGATAAGTTTTAATACCCTGGTATGGCTCAATCTAATGTGATTTCACATGTTAGTTAAGCAGAATAATTTCCTTACATTGTTCCTAACCAAGTAGTACTTTAAGGCAGTTATTCAGTTAATTCGAAATCCCCCAAATGCAGGTAAACTGCACATCAAAAGGTCTTCAACTAACATTAATTGAGGACGCTTGCTTTTCACCAAAATTGTTGTCAACAATTGGTAAGTCCCTAATAAGCACTAAGATCCTAATTAAGTTGCTGCAAGTCGTATTTTAAATTTAACGGTTGTTGGTTCAACTGCAGGTAAGATGCAACACAATCTATATTGTATAAAAGGTCATTGAGGAGATAATCAACTGTAGATTGTTGTCAACAACTGGTAAGTCCCTTAGTTCTCAATTATGAGTACTTGGAAACACATTTTTACTTTACTTTCCAACAATAGCTTTAGGTCACTGATAGCTGTTACTGTACTTCATTGAAAACTAATGTATTATATAGTTTACTTAATCTAGTGTTGATATTGTGGAGTGATAAGACTATTTTTTATATACACGTGTCCCTTTGTTCTTTTGTTTACTATTATTTGTCCTCTAATATGATTAAGTGATAGAACTTTTTTTTTTGCTTTTCTCACACATTCATCTTTTAAATAATTGAATGCCTGTTAATTTATGACACTTTGCCAAATTGTTGAGAGATCAAATACAGTTGCACTGTATTGCTTTAATCCTAATACGAATTTAGTAATAGATTGTTGAGAGACCAAATACACTTGGATTTACAGTTGCAGTGTAGTACTACTAACTTTGGCTGCCTTATATGATCTACTAAATTTAATATTCAGTTTTTATTAGTTTAGTTACATTTCTTTGGATGACAACATGCTTCCATGTGAGTGTATCCAACTGTATAAGTGACATAATTAACAAAGTATAGACTTAGGGATAACCAATATTTATAAGTTTTACAAATAGTCATTAGAATAAAAATAGTCTTATTTAATCATTAAAATTTAGAGCACAAAAAGCTTCCAAATGTAAAACTTGTATGTTCCTAATGAGTACCCTACACTAATGTTCCTTAATCTTACATAATTATAAAGTGTCAGCTATATTACATGCTAACATAAACCATTTGATGGTCCTTTTGAATGTTGATTTCAGCTACTTCAATTGACTTGTGTGCCATCAGTTTGGTCTTTAGGGATATGCCTGCCATCTGCTTGACCTTTTCCCACCATGTCTGCAAGCGTTTGCATTCTTTTACCATGATCTCTTCAATCTTTCTATGCATGTGCCATCAATTTCTGGAAAAAAAAAAATCTGCAATAGGAATATCACAAATCGAGTACGTTTAACATGTTTGGTACTAAAACAAAAAAACCATACTGCATATCAAAAGGTTCAGTCCAGCTGATGTTCGAAAAACACAATAATGTCACCAAAAACCATCATTCAAAAAAAAAAAAAAACCAAAAGAGCACATTGTCAGCCATTTAATTCATTACAAATCTGTTTCTTTCTCAATCTTCACAACACTGTCCTTGCTTTTTTTAGAACTTTGTGTGCTGGAAAACTCATCAATTAGCGATCTCTTCACGGTTCCATTCTCAATACTGTTATCTTCGTTCAGTCTCTGTGCAACAACTTGGAGAGGGCTTTAAGCTTCATTTGCTGGGTCTATATCCTACACATCAAAATGGTGAAAATGTAAATGTAAAATACTCTTAGTTTATAAAGGAATTCTTATAACATGTTTCTGGATCAGCAAGTATACCTCTATATCCCATAGGTCCTCATCCGTAAGCTCCAACTCCAACTTTGATGAGAGGTCCCTGTCCCAAACTTGGATTAGCTCTGGTGCGTGCTTCTCTACAATCTTTTCATCAGTGATGATTCTCATAACAGGGAAAGCATTGAGATAGTTTTGGAACTGTTCCTTACGCACAGCAATTCGAAATAACAGATTCTGTCCGATTAGAGTTTCAAGCTCCTTAGGTAAACCCTTTCTTCCCTGCAGGTAATTCAATTAGTTAACAGAGATACAATACTTATGAAAGCTATAGTATATTAATGTTTTTCATTTAGGTGGTCCAAAGAGAATTAACTGGATACTTAGGTAGACCCTTTCATTTGGATCATTATATTAATGTTTTTCATGAGATAGCTTAGTTGGTAGTACTAAGCTAATAGTATAGGACATGATGAAATAGTATTAGTACCTTTGTATGGGTATCCTTCAAATCATCTGCACTAATTCCAATTAGATCGAGGCACTCCCTGTCCCATAGAAGAAAATGAGCATTGCCATCCAAGTCCACAACTCTAACCTTAACTCTGTACCTCAGTGTCCCATCACCCCAATTTCTGTCACATGTACTACACCACAGCCACTTCCCTTTCAGCTTAAGCTTTTTGTTGCAACCCTTGGTTCGACACGAAGCATAGTACCACTCTGGATCATCAATGAACACAATCCTAGCTGCAACCCAGAAATCTCCAAACTGCATTCAACTTTATACAATTAGAGATGCAACTATAATATAATATATAATTCTGAAAATCTTTAGCTATCAGTAATTATTAATCATCATTAGGTTATATAACTAACAAATATCAGTTCTGATTTTGCAGGTTTGGGTTTATTAGAGAGTATATGCTTGCAAAAACCAAAAAACATAACTGCCACAACAGATGGTGGTCTAAAATTCTTAAATTAGATAAGTAACCAATGTTAGGCTCTATAAGACTTTATCACACTCCACAATTTCTGTTACCATTTATCTGATCCAAAACTAACAAATATCAGTTCTAATTTTGCAGGTTTGGGTTTATTAGAGAGTATATGCTTGCAAAAACCAAAAAACAGAACTGCCACAACAGATGGTGGTCTAAAATTCTTAAATTAGATAAGTAACCAATGTTAGGCTCTATAAGACTTTATCACACTCCACAATTTCTGTTACCATTTATCTGATCCAAAACTAACAAATATCAGTTCTGATTTTGCAGGTTTGGGTTTATTAGAGAGTATATGCTTGCAAAAACCAAAAAAAAAAAATAGAACTGCCACAACAGATGGTGGTCTAAAATTCTTCAATTAGATAAGTAACCAATGTTATGATCTATAAGACTTTATAAATCTCCACAATTTGTGTTACCATTTATCTGATCCAAAATATGAAATGCAGGCATAAGACTACAGATTGTAGTGCCCAGTGTACTGAGGAGTTCAGCAATTGACATTCAGACAGGACACATTTTCCAAATGTGAAGATGACAGCATATATCTCTTAAAGTAAGTTTAAATTTATGTAAATACTACCTCCTTGTCTCTGTAGATCTCACTGATAGTACGCACTTCCATATCACCAGATAGTGCAACTGAATATGAACTACATTCCTTAAAACTTGATTGCGATATAATACTGCGCATTGGTGTCTGTTCATGACTCGTCCTGTAATATATAAGTAATACAGAACATAATATAAGAATTAGAGATAAGAATGGAATATAATGTAACTGATAGTAGTGCAATAATTTTAATTGACTAACCTCTTCCTGAACTCCTCAAAGGGGGGAGATTCTTGGTTGAAAAGCAGCTGTGTTACATCATAGGAGCTACAAATCTTGACATCACCACCTTTTAGAAAATAGTATTAGTACGCATTAGGCTATAAAGATGTTTTAAGAAGACTTTTTAAGATGTAATTGATAATATAAGATAGTTACAGACACAATATGTAATGTACTTACTTTTTAAACACACCCTTGCCCTACAAAACTGTACCAAGACCAACAATGGTTCTTGTGAAGTAGAATTGTAGAATGCCTCAATCTTGCTTACGTGTTCATCCCACAAAGTACACATTAGTTGTATTCCACTACAAATTTTTTGATAATATATTAGAAAAACAGCATTAATAAAAAATGATAGAAAGGTAGTGATTTTCAGTAGTACTCGGTGTCTTCAAGAGTGAAGTCAATCAGCCTGAAGTTCTTCCCATTAATTAATTTCTCCTCTGGGCAGTGTATTTCAATAACTCGACCAATAACATCTACAAAACAATGGATTAGATGATATAATAATAGTAAAATTACTAATTATTTGGAAAGGATAGACTGAATGAGAGAACAGATTACCAAATAGGTGTTTCTCATCAAGGCCTTCAGTAGATTTGATCTCTTTAAAGGTCTTCAGTCGATACATTTTCATAGGAAACTTCACATGCTTTAAATCCTTAACCATAGTCTGATAGTTAAATTTTATCATGTACTTCTGTGGGCTGGTTTTGTATGAGTAAAAGTTTGTGATCACACAAAAATTTTTTATAGCATACACTGAACCTTCTGAAAAACAGCTAAGGTACTTTTCAACATACTCTTTGGGTACATGAGCATGCAAGAAGGAACCCTGTGTGTTTGTAAATAACAAAAATAGGACCTGTAAATATATATCTAATCTATGTGTATAGATAACAACAATCATCACTGTAAATGTAAAAAGACTGTATGTAAGGCTCTTTAAAAAACTATTATAGATAAGCTGAACTGCTTATCTCTATCTACTGTTAAATGGTGCTTACCTCTTCATCATGGAAAACAATTTCTTTTGATCTAATCTTCGATGGATCATTTCTCTCAGGAATCTGATATGCTCGGACCACCCTTAGCCTAAGAGCCTGCCTGGTATTCATCGGAGATATTTGGCTAGCAAGGACAAACATTTTGTGGAAGGGAAGAAGAATCAGAGTATCTCTATCTATGGAAATTTCGAATGTATTGAGTAGCTTTGTATATTGAGTATGTGATGTATATATAAGGTCTGATGACCTTTCGTTATATTTCCTTCGAAATAAACAGCTAGTAAATACCTAGAGAATATGTATGGGTTCGTGGGCTCAATCTCCCATATGTCCCATAGTAAATTCCTAGAGATTATGTATGGATTAAATAGATTCTCCAATCCAATTGGATGGGAGAGTGATCAGCCGTAAATATATTTTAAAAAAAATAGGTTTTATATAAACTGTAGGTATTATACTCAAATCGGAGACCTTTCGTTTTTCGAAGCTTTAACAATAAATTATCCGCCTTTGTCAAAACGTCGCCGTTCCATTTGGGCGGGATTTTTTGCTCCCTTTGTTTTGCTTTAATATAGATAGATAGATAGATATATATATATATATATATATATATATATATATATATATATATATATATATATATATATATATATATATATATATATATATATATATATATATATATATATATATATTGTATTTTAACGCGTTGGAGTGGATTACCAGCATTATTCGCTGAACAGATATATTTGGCTTTCAGGCACAGATGAGTAGCTCCGGAGCGCACTAGAGGACCCGAAGCTTAGTTAGTTAGTTTTCTTATCGGTCTGCGTGCCATGATGATGTATTGACACTGTTTTGAGGATATTTAGATAGTATAGCCTGTGCATCTGAGTTTTCCAGCTCAGATGTGGCATAGCACCTCAAACACTTATGTTTAGTTATGCACTGTTTCGAGGTTTAATGATAGAATTGCCTTTATTTCATAAGCATTTAAGGTTTTAAATTTTAGGGGTGTTACAATATTGGTCTGTTTATAGCAGTTCTTTATCAGCTTTGGAGGGCCCGAAATACTGCAGTCTGGGAAAGAAGCCTTGTCGTGGCTAAAAAAATGCAGGGTCACATCCGTTGATTTCTTCACCGACTGCTCGGAGCTCCGGGGTTCACTACAACCCTCTCATACTGCTATTCGTTCGTATGCGGGCATCGTACTGCCCGACTCTTGATGTCGTGAATCATTTTTTCTAGATTTTACGTTTAAAGGGGAGTTAGAATATTTTATCCTGAAGCGTGCTTTGACAGATGCAAATCCAAAACCGTCCAAGTGATGACGGTTCGAGTCCTCGCAATAACATTTAAGATTGGTCTCATCATGTTGTTGTCATTTACACCCGTCAAGACCCATTAAATTAAAAGGAATTGCCATTTCTACTGCTAGGTTCGTAATTAAAAACAAAAACAAAAAGTTGTATTTTGATTTTTTTTTAGCAGTTACAAATTAAAGTGTCAACAAAAATCTGTGAATAATGGGAAAAAATAAAATACACTGAAAAAGGTTTCTTCTTGATCATCATATTGGCTCTGATCTTCATGACTTCATGCCCTTGATGGCTACAAGAAGATCGAAGATACCCCCACTTTCATTCTGCTTTCTTCAATTAAAGCATCCAGAAGGGCAGCTTGTAATGCTCAACCGCTTACTCTTACTGTCAGGTAGTTTCTTTGTCTGCTCGATTTTCTTTTTCAAAGATTCATATTCGCCCTTTGACAATTTGATCGTTCCATTTAACTTTGAAATTGCAGGTGGATCAGCAACTCCTCCAGGGGGCGCTGTTGATGAAGAATCTGCTGCAGTCAGCAGCCTGGTTGATTTTGCCTCTTTTAGAACACTTTCTAGTTTCTCCTCTGCCTCTTTGGCGGCAACCCTTGCGATTTCTGCTTCTTTCCTGAATGATTCAGCGTAACTCTTCATTTCTTCTGCTTCCCGGATAGCTAGCTCTGCTTCTGATGTTAGTTGCAGGATTTTTGAGGCTATATAATCACAATCCAAGTCCTCTTTGGTATCTGCTTCTTTAATGGTTTCTTTGAGCTCCTCTTTACTGGGATTATTATTGGTTTTCAATAACTTGGGTTGAGATTTGTTATCTGGGTTGTTTTCCAGTTCTTGCTGGAGGGAATCCACCTGGGTTCTAAGTGAGTTTTCCAGGGAAACTACTTCTTGCATGGCTTTCTTGGCGGTTTCAAGTTCAGAAGCTGCGGTTTTCCAGGCATTCAAGTCTGCAGATTTGGCGTTCTTTAGTTTCTCTCTCAAAACTTCGATCTCGTTATTTGTTTCGTCCAGCTTTAGCTTGAGATGTTGGGTGAGATTATCCGGGTCAAATTCTTCATTGATAGCCTGCATCTTTGCCTCCGCGTCTTCCTTGGCCTTCTGGAGAGATTTGAGGGAAGCCTGTTTGGCGGCGATGACGGCTTCTTCTTGGGATTGGGAGTGGATAGACGAGGTGAGCTTAGCTAAGGCCTCACGCAAGGTGGCCACCTCTTTGGAAAGCTCGATGACTCGCTCGCGGTTAACCACGGCGGAATTCTGGGCGCGCGAGGCCTTCTGGATGGCCGCGGTTTTGGCTTCCATGGCGGCGTCGAAGTCGTGCCGGAGTTGCGCCAGCTGTTGCTTTATGGAGTTGAGTTCTTCGGCGGAAGCGATGTTGTCAATGGTGAGCTGGTCTGTTTCGCGGCGGCGTTGCGGGGAGGAGTCGTCGGTGGCGGTGGCGGTAGGCGGGGGTTGGGTTGGTGGTTGTTGTTCGGAGCGATTATTGATGGTTCCAATCTTGGCGGATAGATCTTGGAGGGTTTTCCTGGCTTCCTCAAGGTCACGTAGGGCTTCGGCTTTTGTGGCTTCCGAGTTTCGGAGTTGGAGCTTGTAGGCGTCCAGTTGGTTCAGGGCCATGTGAAGCTGGCTTTCCTTCTCCACCACTCTCTGCACAATCAACCAATGTATATATAATAGTCATCATATATATGTGAGAACCACTCCTCATGAGTCTATGAGTATCAATCTGGTGCATTAAAAAATTAGATCTATGGATTAGATTAGTTGGAGGAGTTTCCAACCACCTAAAAGTGATCTTAAATCGAGTAGAAAGCAAAAAGTTGTCCCAAATAGCAATAAAGATTTTTTTCGGATACCAAAAGTGGTCGGAACAAGACTTTCGCCTTGATTTAAGATCACTTTCAGGTGGTTGGAAATTCCATAATTTCCTGCAGTGGCAGATGGGGCATGTGTTGTGTAGATATCATATGTTGCACACAACACATGCTTAATATGCAAACACGAATTTTGAATCCCACAATTACATACAACACATGCCTCATATGCATACTCAAATTTTGGACTCCAATTGATCTCGTCATTCATAGATCTATTTTTTAATGCACTATATTAGTTCTCATAGACTCATTGGAGGATGGTTCTCATAGTAACACCACCCTCTATCTATATATATGTGTGTGTGTGTGAGAGAGATCAATTGAAAACTACTATTCTCAAAGATGAGAACATGTGAATTGCACAATCAGACATACAAGATGCACAATTCAAAACACAAATTAAAATAGTTACATAAATGTTGTAGAATGTATAATAATCTATAGGTAAATGCACAATCAGACATTATAAGTTACACAATTCACACATTGACACGGGAAATGTGGTTCTCATGCCCTAGCAAAACTTAATAATGAAGTAATGCTATGTGGTTGGTTGTTATGCATGCAATATGCATGGATACCTCTTCAGGAGATTTATTAGCCGTCGTCTTTTTAAAGGCGTGGGCTGCCGGCGATTTGGGAGAGGATCCCGCTTCTCCAAACAAACTAACAGCTGCTTTCACGGATTGAAAGGGAGCCCTGGTGTCTATCTCCCCCACCTCCGCCGTTCTCGGAGACCCTCTGAACGTCGGACTTCCAAAATATTGTCTAGGTGAAGCGCCCGTCGTCGGCGAACCGGCAGCCATCGGAGACCCGCCGGCCATCCTCGGAGAACCTGCGGCCATCCTCGGAGAACCGGCAGCCATCCTCGGAGAACCAGCAGCCATCCTCGGAGAACCGGCAGCTATCCTCGGAGAACCGGCGGCGGCGGTCTCCACTTTCTGGTTCTGCTGGCTCGTGTTTACGCTGATTCCATATATTTTTGGATTCACAGCTCACCTTCTTCACTGCCTGCCCTGCTGCACATTCTTAATACATATATATAATGAACAAAGAAATTAAAATCCGAGGATTAATGTAATTATATATATAGTACCTGATTAATTATATTAATTCAACGGCGGCGGCTTTCAGTTATGTCCCAAACGGAATGTTTGATCGATGAATGAAAGGTGAGAGCTGTTAATCGGCCATGTATGAACAGCCATAAAATGATGGGAGCAAGAAATGTGATGAGAGGTTTCTGCGGTTTTTGATATATAAATTTTTCCTTCCAAACCAATTTCTTTCTTGACCAAATATTTGTGCTTCAAATTGTCTTCTTCCCTATTAAAGGGTGGAGCAATATTTGGCGATTTCTGTGCAACAAAAATGTGGTACATTAATTTTGTATCTAAACGAGAATATTGTGCCGCTAATGCATTTAAAATTTAAACCAAACAAATGTATGCCTCCTAGTGTTAATGGTCACCTTCAAAGGATTGCATTTTTTAATTTGTACGTTCTTTATGTATGGCCTATGCTTTTAAATCTTCATGTCTAACTCTTTAATTATTTTAATTAATATGTTGGTTAAAAACAGCTAACTTTAGGGTGTGTTTGGTTCATACGTTTACACCACAAATGTGAATCAAAATTATAGTTAGTGTTTGGTTTACTACTTTTTTAAAACACAACTATATATGATATTTGATTACTGTACCTATTCGATTAAAAATCATATCCCCTAATTAAAAACGGGTCAGTGTTTCCTGTGCGGTTGGTACGGATTCACCATTAAGTATGCAAAAATGCATTCGTAGTGTTTAGAAATGCACCACAAGGAAATGCATCAATGCACGGTCGCACGAGAAGCACTGTCCGCACGGGAACCTGAATATATATATAATTGCACAATATTTTTATAATTCATTTGTTGAACATAATGTTACAACATCTTCAATTTCTCCTATTAATTCATGCTTTGACTCAATCAAAGATGTCACTCCAATAAAATAAAGTTGGCAAATTTGGGTAAGATTAGTCACCCATTAGCCAATAAATAGTGTTTTCAACAATCACTGGATTACAGTACGTGTTTCATATGAACTATTATTGATTAACAAAAAGGTAAACATTTTGGCCCTGTTTGGTAAAAAATTGGTCTATAGGCCAATTTTAGCTTATTTGACCACTATTAATTATTTGATTTAATTAAAATATCAATATAAATGTTTGGTTAATTAGCTTTTTGCAACTTCAAAAGGCTAAAATTAAAAAAGCTACTCCTAGCAATTTTTTCAATTAGCTTTTTGAGAAAAGAAATTATACCAAACAGCTATCAGCTAACAGCTAATTTACCAAACACTTTTCTACAATCAGCTAATGTTATCAACTATTTACACCCTTTAATTAACACAATCAGCTAACAGCAAACAGCTATCAGCTAACAGCCATTTTACCAAACATGACCTTTATGTTTGCTTGTAAATTTAATATTAATTATGTGTAAATTGTTTAATTGTTACGTAGTGAAATTGTAATATTTATAATGAAAAATATTATACTTCTCATAATTGAAGCATGTGCTCCATCTCAACTAAAAGCCTAAGCTGATAGTTGGATTGCACGTTAATAGCTATATGCTCACACGTGGACCGGTAAACCGTTGTCGCTTATGAGTGACGTTGAGATTTGAACCCATGACCTTTGATCTGGCTCTGATACCAAATTGAAGCATGTGCTCCATCTCAACTAAAAGGCTAAGCTGATAGTTGGATTGCACGTTAATGGCTATATGCTCACACTCATGAAAAATGTAATATTTTTAAATCAAAATGTAATATTAAGAGTTGAAGGGCAAATTATTATGTGAATCATAAAAAAATACATTTTTAATATATTAAAAGTACATTATTTGTGTACTGAATGTACATTATACAAAATAATATACTTTTAATATTCAAATAATGTACATTCCCTCAATATAATGTACATTTTTAATATACTAAAAGTGTATTATTTATATACTGAATGTACATTAGTTAATAGTATACAAATAATGTACTTTCAATACTCAAATAATGTATTTTATGTATACAAATAATGTAACTTTTATTTATGGTTCACACAATAATGACTGGAGTTGAAGTGTTACTTAGAGCATCTCCATCAGAGAAGCATTCACGGTATACAAGAAATGTTTGCCTACATGGAAGAGAGAGAACCAAGAGAGAAAAAGAAAAAGTCGTCCTTGCAAGGGGTTGAGATGTTTTCTATTTCCATGGGAAGAGAAATATCAGAGAAGCATTGGTTGCTGCCCTTACGGGCGTCAAGCGTGCCTAATTGACCATGCTTTTTATATTATTTTTTAAAATAAAAAATCAGTTTTGATTTTTTTTCTCTCTCATCCCACATTTTCTTTCATAATCACTTTTACAATAACTTCTTAATATCCCCAACTGATATTGATACTCTTATGATAAAAATTGTACTCCGTAATATTTATATAGTTGCTTAAAAAAAAATAAAAAAAATTGACCAGCTTCACACACAATCTCATAGGAAAATTTGAAAAATTTTCTTATCCAAAATCTGACTATTTTGCGTATTTGAATAATATTATTATGGGGCCTCACGATTCACGAAGAATGTCACAATTACTACTGGATGATAGCCCACTATCAACAATGGAGGGTTAGCCCACACAAACCAAGAATTCCGGCCTCACCGTCGTGGAAGCCGCGAAGCGTACATTTCCCCCTTCACCCCTTCGCCTCTTCGCATTGCCTTCTCGTGGCGATGGAGTCCAACTCCGATGATCACCAGTCTCCGCCACTAGCCACCGCTACGTCTCCACCACCAGCCACCGCCGCGTCTCCACCACCAGCCACCGCCGCGTCTCCACCACCAGCCACCGCAACGTCTCCACCACCAGCCACCACTGCGTCTCCGCCACCAGCCACCACTGCGTCTCCACCGCAGTCTGCGCCTGACCAGCAACCGCCCCTATCAAAGAGAGCACAGAAGAAGCTGCTGAAGCAGCAGCGGTTCGAGGCCAAGAAGGCGGAGAAGAAGGCACAATTGAAGGAGCACAAGCAGAGGGAGGCTGAGCGGAAGCGGAGGGAATGGGCGGAGAGGCTAGCGGGGATGAGCGAAGAGGAGAAGCTGAAGCTGATTGAGGAGCGGAAGAGCGTGAGGAGAGAGAGGATGGAGAAGAGGTCCGAAGAGAAAGGGAAGAAGATAGAGAGACTGACTAGAGCAAAAGAAAGCGGTCAGAATTTCATTATCGATCTCGAGTTCTCTGATCTCATGACCTCCAATGAACTCCATAGCCTCGTCCAACAGGTATCTTCCTCAAATTATCACGAATTTCTTGAGTATATTCTGTTAAACTCTGTTATCTTACTGGTATTCTTGAGTATATTGTGTTGAACTGGAAGTAGATTCAGGGAGGGGGATGGCATAGAAATCAGTTAGTATATTATATTTGTTCAGAAGGAATAATATATATATATATATATATATATATATATATATATATATATATATATATATATATATATATCATGATCACTCTTCTGATTTTGAATGTAGATTATGTACTGTTATGCCGTGAATGGAAGATGTGCTTCTCCTGCACACCTTTGGTTGGCAGGCTATCAAGGTGAAATGCAAAACCTATTGGAAAAAACACCAGGGTACGATAAGTGGTTAATTGAGAAGGAAAGCCGTCCATATATTGAGGCATTCGAAGATCAGAAGGAAGATCTTGTATATCTCACTGCCGACTCTGTGAACGTTCTAGATGAACTTGATCCAAAGAAGCTCTATATAATTGGTGGGTTGGTGGATCGGAATCGGTGGAAAGGCATAACCATGAAGAAAGCAGAAGAGCAAGGGATTCAAACAGCAAAGCTCCCTATTGGAAACTACTTAAAGATGTCGAGTTCTCAGGTAGTTTTTCGTCTTATGCATCATCTATCCCTGCTCACTTGATAAATTATTTTTGCATTCTGCATATTGTAATAAAATTAAGTCTCAAGTCATGAATATTGATCATTGATTGCAATTCACTACCTGCTAATTTCAATTTAATTTGAGAACCTGTTATATATTATGAGGGAATGCCTATGTTAGAAATATTCCTTGTAATGTTTAACACTTCTTGCACTACATTCTTCTGTTCAACATTACTTATTTGAGCCCCTAATTATGTTAGTGAAATGGTAAGAACATATGAAAATATTTGTATGGTTTTGATTATGAAATTACCATGCCACTAAAGAGGGATGAAACATGCTTTTCCTAGATAGAGCTTGTCAGTTTGACCTTGTTACTTGTGCTGCATAGAATGGGAGGTGCTTAGTTCTAACAACTATTCTTAGTATTATAGTTCCATAATACCACTATTGTAAGTAATAAAGATTAAACTTATTAAGTAGGTAAATCATATACAATGTTGTTCAACCAAAACAATTGCCCATAATGAGTTTGAAATAGTAGATATAAGAGATCCATGGATAGGGACATAGGGTTACATCTGTTGTGTTTAGATGTAGCATTTGTGTTAGTATGGTCAAAGGCTATGTGATTAACAGTCACCTATCAAATTTTAGTACTATTAACAACACATTTGGTTCATGAAATAGGTTATAAATCGAATAGCATTCCTGGGAATAAACCTATTCTATTGTTTGGTTTAGCTTTATATTCATATTTCATAGGAGGAATAGTCATTCTAAGGAATAAGGAGGGTTTGGTATTAGCTATTCCTGAGTTTTCAATAATAGCAATTTTATTGTAATATTGAAAATGCCCTTTCATGAGTGCGTGCGCTCACACACTCACACACAAATATGTGTGTATTTATTTAAATAAATAAATAAACATATTCAAACAGTCAAATACATAATATATGTGTGTGTATTTAGTTATTTATACATTTGATTTGCACAAAATGGTTTTTGTGGGTCCTGCAGGAAAAAAAAAAAAAAAAAAAAAAAAAAAACTTGCCTTGGGTGTGTGAGTGCACACGCGTTAATAGCCTTTTTTTCCCCCTTTTTTCTTTCCCTCTTTTTCTCTCCCCCTTTCCCTCCTATGTGGCAAAAAACCCTGACAAAAACCTTGGGCTGTTGAGGCTTCTCTAAGGAAGGATACCTTATCCTTCCTGGTGAAAAGCATAACTAGGTATATTTTTGGACAGCGGTTTTTGTTGACACTTAAACTGGCGTATATTTTTTCATTTGTATGTATATTGTGGAGGTTCGAAATTTAGTAATGATTATCTGTACATGCATATATATATATATATATATATATATATATATATATATATATATACACACACACACACACACTTTCCTTCCTGTGAATAAAGTGCTAGATTTACAGTTGTTAATATTGCTTATTCTGGTTGTTCACTTGTCGGTCTCTGATTCTTTTCCTTTTAGAAAGAAACTGTGTTATCCCTTCTAGTTCACGAAAAAAATAACAAGTGACGTGGACTTGTCAAAGCATTCATTAGGTGGATTATTAGCCTGCAGCTCATGTTGTCACTTATAATGCATGTATACGTGTTGTTTCTACCAGTATTCATAACAGATGTTCTATGTTTAGTAGTGGCGTGCTATTTTTGTATTGCTATAGATACATAAATCTAGTTTCCTTTTAATGAATCAATCAATAGATTTATAACTATCAAATTCACTGCATATGATTGTGCAATTGTCTGAGTTATATAGAATGAAAAGTTTTGAGATAATGGAATAAATTAGTGAATTGTTAGTAGTAGAATATGTTACCCATGTTTTTCTGTCACTAAGATCATATTAACAGAAATATGCAATTTTTGCATTCATTTGTTTAGGAAAGCAGTAGTCCCAATCTGATACATCCGTGATATGTGACCATTTGCTGCTGCTTAAGAGTGTTACACACTCTGTTACGATTCTAATGTGGAATTATCACGGCCTGCCTGATTTAGAGCATTCCAGTTTTGAAAATGATTTCAAATTCCGCTCTTTGCACATTCCTCCCTAACCAAGCACAATACATTTGGGTGTGAATACAGGTCCTCACTGTTAATCAAGTAGTAGAGATACTTTTAAAGTTCTTGGAATTGAGAGATTGGAAGGCTTCATTTTTCGAAGTCATCCCTCAAAGGAAAAGATGTGGGGCAGACTCTGAAGATGTTGACGATGAAGCAGAAGGGGAAGACAATGCACCAGAAGAGGGTGATGATCACCAAGACATGAAAAGACAGTGCATTGAAGGAGTGTGCAATATAAACAGCTAAGTAATCCAGTCTAGACGATTGCTCTCTAGTGAAATTCGGATGAGAGATTTTTTTTCAGGTTTCTTCCTTTCTGTAGCTTGAAAGTTTCTGGGAAATTGGTCAAATTGCACAATACCATACTTTATGTTTTTGACAATTACTTGATAAAATTCAAAATCTACAATTAGAAACATCAATCTTGAGAGTTGGGGCAATGCAGCAGACCAAACATTCTAAATTAAAATCCTAATCATTACATCACAAAGCCTAGCAGAGACAAGTTCAATTTCAATTTGTTTTTAGAAAAAAAAAATAGTAATTATTTCTCTGCTCTTGATGATTCACTCACTCACTCCTTGCAGTGAGGGTAAGGAGGGTCGATATTAGCAGCAGGTGCAGGCTGGGAAGAGCCTGCATTTGATTCATCTCTCTGCAGGTACCCACCGCCGTTCATCGGCGGTGGAAACCCGAAGTAAGCATGGTGGTGGCCCACCGGGAACGGCTGCACAAACGGTGGGTAGTTCACCGGATCAACCATTGTCCGTTTAAGCAGGGGGTCGCCTCTGAGGGAGCCACGGTCGCCGCCATCATACTCGCGGTAGCGGTGGAGGTAGAGCGTGAGCGGCTCAATGTAGTCGTCAAACCCCAGCTTGCTCATGGCCCACAGCACATCCTCGGCAGTGATGGTCTTGCGCTGCTCGCGCTGGCAACGCTCGTTGGCCTCGCCAGTGATAAAGCTGATGTACTCCGACACGCATTCCTGGATGGTCTCCTTGGCGTCGTCGGAGATTTTGGCGTGTGGGGGCAGGATCTTGCGCATGATCCTGATCACGTTGGCGATGGGCATGAAGCGGTCTTGCTCCCTCACCGTGCATTCTCCGTCGTCAGCAGCAGCGGCAACTGGGTTGTTCCCGGTGCCGCCGTGGTTGAACATCTTGAGCTGAGGCGACGACGCACCCACCGGCAGTCCCATGTTCATCTCCAGTGGCACTTTCATCTCTGTGCATGCCATAATACATCAAATCAAAATTACAACGTAACAACACTACTGCTGTACTCACTCTATAAATTAATATAGAAGAAATTTGTGGTTTTCATCATCTTTCTCACTAATCATGAAAACCAAATTTCGGTGCATGAATTTCATCAGTACACGAAATTCATTATTATATTGCTCACAAAATATATATACCAAATGATAAAAACCGCTAGAGATTACAATAAAGTGAATGAGTACCTTTAATTTCTTTCAATATATAATTATGGCCCCATTTGGTTAAAAACTGGTCTATAGATCAATTTTGACTTATTTAACCACTATTAATTGTTTGATTTAGTTAAAATATCAATATAAATATTTGGTTAATTAACTTTTTGTAACTTCAAAATGCTAAACAGCTCAGCTAACAGCTATCAATTATCAGCCATTTACCACACAGGCCTTATATGTTGTATATGTATGTAGTTTAATTAGTATATACAGTACAGAATTACATTTACATATACCTTGCAGTAGTACTAGTAGTACTGATAGGACTAAATTAAAGTGGATTAGTTAGTAAAAAAAAAAAAAAAAAAAGTAGGTTGATGATGGGGTAATTAAGAAAGTGATTAAATTAAGGATAGGAGGGTGGGAAAGGGGGCATGAGTGACATGTGGTGAAGTAGGGTAGAGACGAGATATAGTGGGGCCAAGCACTGCATGCATGCCACTTGTTATCACACTTTAATTTCTCTTTGTAACGTTCTATGATGAACCAAGAATTGATTGGCCATTTCTGAAACCGTCAAAACTTAGTCTTAATTCATCAACCTCCGCTCCCACTCTCGTCGTCTTTACTCAATCTTTGCCTTTCTTCATTTCAAACACCTTTTTTTTTTTTTTTTTTTTTAAACATATATACAAGCTAAGCTAAAGATTAATGGTGGGAAAAACTCACCACCATCACCAACTAGCGACTTGTGACCTCTCTTATTTAGAGTGATGAGTGGATAGATGGTGATGGTGGACTGGTGGTAGAGTAGTGATGAGTGGATCGATTTATGACAACTACTTATCAGTTATTTAATTGCAATATAATGAAAATTGAGAAGTGAGCTCAGGAATTTACCCAAATTAGCATAAGAAGAAAACCATGACCACTACAAGATACAAGATCTGAAGGGCAGTACACAAGCATTATATTATATATATTTGGTATGAGCTAGTCCAAGTGATGATAGATGATGGAATTGGAAGTATATGTATATGTGTTTAGCTGCTAAAATCTTTTTTTTTTTTTTGAAACGAAACCCTAGCCCTAGGCCTATCTAATTAATTAAGCTAGATGTTGTTATTTGGAGAGTGGAGAAAGAATAGGAAGGGACTAAAACAAGAAGAAAAATCGAATCTTGGAAACCACTGCACATCAGATAGATCAACCACAACATACAACACATTATATATATGTGTGTGTGGAGAGAAATTTTCAGATCATTCTTTGTGCTTCACAACACCTAAACGTAAACTTACATTTCAGTTCTTAAAAAATGTCCTAAGTTGCAGTGCTAGCTAGCTTTAAAATACCCAACCAAACAAAAAAAAACTTAGAAATATATATAATCCCTTAAGAGTTGCGGCAGTTTTTGGAACAGAAAAGTGAGAAATGAAATCAGACACAACTCACCACCAAGCTAAGCCATCCAAACTGGAAAAACCCATGTATATATATATGTTTTATTTGTAAAAAATGAAATGTGAATGTGTAGGTATATACCATACCAGAAGTTGGGTGAGGGAGCCTGGTGCGGTAGCCATGGAAGCCAGCTCCATTTCCTCCAAGATCCATCTCGATCGATCAATCTCAAGCAAGCTAGCCTACCCTTATGTGTGTAAGTGTATGTATGTATGGATCTCTCTATCTTGCTGTGTATATATGGAGGTGAAGGAAGATCAGAAGAAGTTCTTGGCCTGGTGTGAAAGTATATAGTAGGAAATGGGAAATGGGCATGAAAATGATTATAAAGAAAAACTGGAGAAGAAGAAGCAAAAAGGAAGAGAAAATTAAAGGGCGGGCCTGGCGGCCACGTGGCGGTAGGCGTTGTGAACGAGAGCAAGGCATTCGCCGGTACCAAATGGCCTTCTCAGTTGGCCAGAACAGCATTGACCCACCGCCATCCGCATGCATCCCTCCCCAATCCCTCTTTTTCTTATTAACTACTATACTCCTAAAACTTATACTTTAATTAATTGCTATGTTTTTTCCAAGTTTATAGTTCCAACCCCATTCATCTTCAATTCCTTGCAAATTCAACTCCATTAACCATTTAAACATATTAATATTAAAAAATAAAAAAGACATATTACTTTCTAAGATCTACTATGCATACTCTCAAATTTTACTCTCTAATGTGGAAAATAATGATTGGTTATTTTCATCATGTGGGTCTATATATAAGTGTACATCAAGAACTTGTGAGATGAAGTAAAAATTGAGAGTATAAAATGAGAGTCCACCAAGTATTTTCTTTAAAGCATCCACAATAGTGGATTTTAAGTGGTTTTTGCATATTTTAGTGCACATGTGGAGGAGAAAGAATGAGGGGAGAAAAGATTAGAGATTTTTGCATGGAGATCTGGTGTTTATCTCTACAGTGAACCCCACCATAATGAAAAAGTTTGTTGCACTCCACGCCTGAAGCGCACTAAACGCACCCATTTGTGTTAGGACTCTTATGTTTGTAGTCCATTAGGATTCTCTCTCTATCTCTCTATATCTCTATTGTATAGACTTGTATTACGTGACCACTGTTAATCTAATCCTCATCTGTTATCAGTATCCAGGTTTTTTCCATGGCAGCCTTGGGAGAGAATGATGGCGGTTCTGTTTGCAATTCTTCAGAACGGACTGTCTCCGAGGTTGCTCCTACACCCGTTTTAGGGGTGTGCAAACCCAACAAAACCGTCGGGTCAACCTGATCCGATCGGGTAAACCAGCCCTTCCAGACCGAATCGACACCCGAATTCATTAAACCGAACCAAGCCAGCCATTTTAGCGGTATAATGAATTCGGTTAGGGTCTTGTGTTTGCCCACCCGAGCCGTCCGAAAACCCGATGAAACCTAGGGTTAGATGTGGTATGCAGTAAACGGCGTCGTGTCCATAGTTTATATATATGAGTGTTTGTACGCTGCGCAGCCTTGGCCCTTCAGTCTTCACTCTCTCATAGTCTCATTCTCTGATTTCTCTCTCGACTCTCAAGTCTCAACCTAGGGTTTCTCAGTTCTCAGAGTTTGAGACTCAGAATCTCCGATTCTCCGGTGGAAGCCTTTTCTCTGATAGTCTGATTCACTATTTCTGTCTTGAGTTCTATGAGTCTGTGTCTATGAGACTGTGACTTTGTCTCTGAGTTCTCTCAATGAGATTCTGATAGTTCGGTGGAAGCCCTTTCTCTGATTCTCTCTTCGATATTCTCTGGGGTCTCAGCTGTTTTGGTGTTCTCTTTGAGTCAGTGAGTCTGTTGACTCTTGAGTCTTGAGTCTTGAGTCTTGACTCTCTGTGAGTCTGTGGTGGAAGCCTGAACCTTTGTTCAGTTGTTGACTGACTCACTTGTGGACGACTGGACGTTGCTTGAAGGCCCTTGTTCTCCGAGGAAATTCTGTGAGAAAAGAAGTAAATCTCCAACCCTAGTTATTTTATTTTATTAATTTATTCATTATAATGTGAATTATGTGATATAATATGAGATTCAGGGTTGTGATTCTTGTGAACTTGTGATAATGTGATATATTATGAATATCTGAAAATGTTATTGTGATTTGTGAGTGGAAGCACAATCCTACTGAAAATATTATTTATTTACTTGCATTAGTTGTATACTCTGTGACTCTGTGAGTATGTGAAAATGTGAAATACAGTCCTACTGAAAAATGAAAATATCATCTCTGTTGTCTTTCTTGTTTATGGATTGAGGACCCTTAAATATTATGCTATATATTGCCTCTTAAATGTGGAAGCTAATTGTGTCATTTGTTTGAATACATGATAAGTGTCTAACTGCTTATGTGTTGTCCATACGATGAGCATTCAGAGATGAGAGACCTTTTGTTGTCTTTGATAGTTCGAATGTTTGATGAATACCTGATGGAAATATGGAGTTGTGTTGCACTTCTTAGTGCTACACAGTTAAGTGTTAAATGTTAATATGTTATATGTGTGTTATGATTTCCCATCTCCTACTATGTGTACTGATAATGTTCCACACTTTATAGATGGACAATATCAGTATACCTAGTACTGCTTGTGAACTTACCAATTCTTCTGCTCAAGGAGCAACAGCAGTGGAAGCCCAAACTGTTGATATAATTACTCAACAGATTGTGCTCTCTATTGCTGCAGTTCATGCAAAGAAAAGGAAAGCGGTTGAAGCCAGATCAAGAGTTTGGGATCATTTTCAAAAGATTTCTGATAGTAATGGTGTTACTATAGAAACAAAGTGTATCTATTGTGCAAAGTTGTATCAATGTCAATCAAAAAAACATGGTACTACATCTTTAAGGAACCACATGGTTAGCTGTATGAAAAACCCTCACTCTAAAGATACTAGACAGTCCCTTATGATATTTCAAGTTGTTGCTACTAGTGATGCATCTGAACCAACTGTGGGAGAGTTGGGGACATGGGGATTTAATCAGGAAACCATTAGGAGAGGCTGAGAGCCTTGGTAGAAATGATTATCATAGATGAACTTCCCTTTATATATTGTTGAGGGGAAAGGGTTTAGGAGGTTCATTGCAGTGGCTTGTCCTAGGTTTAAAATTCCATCTAGGTGGACAATCAGTAGGGATATCAATGTCATTTATGAAGAAGAAAAATTGAAGTTAAAGTGCTTGTTTAGGGGAAACACTCAAAGAGTCAGTATTACAACTGACTCTTGGACATCTATTCAGAGGATAAACTAAATGGTTATAACTGCACATTTTATAGATGATGAGTGGAAGCTGCGTATAAAAATAATCTCTTTTGTCCCTGTTACATCACATAAGGGTGAATATATTGCAAAAGCACTTGAAAGTTGTTTGATAGAGTGGGGGCTGAGGAATGTGTTTACTGTGACAGTAGATAATGCTTCATCAAATGATGTTGCACTTGGTTTTTTAAAAAGGAAAGTGTTGTCTTGGGGATCATCTAGTGTGAAGAGTAAGTATCTTCACATGAGATGCATTGCTCATATTCTGAACTTAGTGGTACAAGATGGTCTAAAACAATGTGATATTACTGTTAAGAGGGTTAGGGAGGTTGTTAGATATGTCAGAAACTCTCCTTCTAGGTTGAAGAAATTTAGGGATTTGGCAGAGTATAGTGAAATTGAGCAAAAAACATCCTTGTGTCTTGATGTGCCAACAAGGTGGAATTCCACATATTTGATGTTACAGTCTGCTTTGATCTACCAGAAAGTATTTGATGACTATGAATACAGTGATAACTCTTTTAAATATGATCTGGGTGATTCTATTCCTACTTCTCTGGATTGGGAGTCTGTGAACAACTTGGTTAAGTTGTTGAAATGTTTCTATGAGATGACTATCAGAATTTCAGGGTCCTTATATGTGACAGCTAACACCTTTTTCTCTAAAATGTCTGATCTGTACTGTATCTTGAATGGAATGGTAGAAGCTGATGGGGCTGTGAAACTAATGGGGGCTAACATGAAAGCAAAATTTGAAAAATATTGGGGTGATATTGACAAAATGAATTATATGATTTTCTTTGCAAACATTTTAGACCCCAGGGACAAGTTAGAATATATGCCAACTCAATTACTTCATATGTATGGTGAGAAAAAAAGGAAAAAGATTACCTTGAGAAATTGTTGACTGCTTTGAATGAATTGTATGATGATTATGCTGTGAGTTATAACCCTACTGTTGTCCCAGCTACTAGTTCTGGTTCTGTAGCATCTGTTACTCCTGTTGTTGAGTCTGTTTTTACCCCTGTTGGGAGGCCACAACATCTACTGAAGGCCCAAATTAAGAAACAAAGAATGGAAATTGGTGGGAGGAAAAAAACTGAGTTGGAATATTATTTGAGTGAGGCAATAACTGAAGATGAAGGTTCATTTGATATACTAAGATGGTGGAAGGTCAATTCTGCAAGGTTTCCTATCCTTTCTAAGATTGCTAGGGATATCTTAGCTATACCTATCTCAACTGTTGTCTCAGAATTTGCCTTTAGTACATCTGGGAGGGTTTTAGATCCTTTTAGGAGTTCTTTAACTCCTAAAATTGTGGAAGCCTTAGTATGTACTCAGGATTGGCTTAAGCTGCCAAATACCCCCATTTCAATTGAAGAAAATCTAGAAGAATTAGAAAGATTTGAGAAAGGTAAAATAATGTATTATTTCAATCATTCAATTTAAGTTTTTTTTTTTCATTGAATTGAATTCTAACAATCTTCTACTTATTTGATTTAATTGCAGAATTTAGTGTTGATGGTGGAAGTGCATCTGGTGGGAGGACTTGTGGTTCTACACTTCCAAGTATTCATGTAATTGTCTTCCCCAATCTCTATACTTTATATGATATATTAATATCTTAATCTTGTATTCAACTATTCAACTGACTTTATATTCTGATGTTAAGGCAATGAAACTTGGTGACTTTAAGTTGCTTCCCTTGATGAGTTTTTAGCCCCTAACCACTGCTCTTAAATCCTGTAAAATGGTAATGTTCTATTTACAGTTTAGACTGTAAAGGTTTGGTAGCTTACTAACTTGTAAGAGTAAGTAAAGTTGCTGCCTTTTGCAGTTTTGCATTACTGTAAATCTGTAATTCTGGTAATGATATTTATGACAAATTGGCAATGATGAAGCTTCCACCAATGATCTGAAATAAGGATTAAGCTGGTATGTTGCTCAATGTTCAATTGTTCATGGTGATATTGAAGATTTGAAGCAATTTGCCCTTAATCCATACATTGATATAGACAAATATGCTTACTGAGCCAATTTTATAATCTCATTTTCTCATTTGTTAAGTAATTATTATTGACTTATTGTTTTTTACTTGTTTAGTTGTTTGTTTCCTTTACTAAATTGCACTAAGTTTTAACAGGAAGAAGAATAGCAGTCTAGAACACTAGGAGTATTACAGATTTACATATTTAGAGTAGGATCAAGATTCAGGAATCAGGATGGCTTTTTGTGATCAGGAATCTGGATGGCTTTTGTATGATATCCGTTGATCTGCATGATGGAAATCTGGAATGGTTTATTGAATTGTGCAAATCTCTATGTGGATTTGTAAATTTGTAATTTTGGTTTTTTGTGAAGTGTAAAGTGTAAACTGTAAATCATTCATTTTTGGAGTTTTAAGGTTTTTTGTATGGCATATTGGCATTAAGGCATTTTGTCTTGTGTACACTAGTTTAGAATTTAAGTTTAGTTTTTAATTGAATTTACCTTAAATTTTTAAATTTTTATTATTCTTATTTCTATTTTGCTTAATCCGAACAGTAGTCGGATATCTGACCAAACTAACCGAATCCGAAAACTTAAAAAACCGAATGATTTAATATATAAAAAGCTAGGACCGGTTTTACATTCACCAAACTGAAATCCGAGTGGTTTAGCCAATCCCAACCTCGAACCGAACCGAACCACCCGATGCACACCCCTAACCCGTTTACCCAAATACTAGCCTTTCTTTGGCACACCACTTTGTTTCCATTAAAATCACTGCCCGTAATTATCTTTTTGGAGGATACAAATGATTCAATTCTTGGAGGGTCAAGGTTTGCTTGGCTTTGTCGATGGCACTATACCGTGTCCGAAGGTTACTGCACCGGCAGCCTTGACGGCAGACAGCGGCGACGTTGAACTGCTGGCATCCTCCTCTTCTCGTGTTCAATGGTGTCGACAGGATTAGGCCATCTTGTCGCTTCTGATTTCTTCACTGTCCGACGAGATGATGCCCTTGGCTGTTGGCCGAACGACGTCGCAGGCGTTGTGGAAAGCTGTTGAACAGTCGCTGGGTCGGGGACGAGATCTCGTGCTCTGCGGCTGCTCGGTGAGTTGCAGGGGCTAACGCAAGGTGATTCTTCCGTTTCCGATTACCTTGGGCGAGCGCAAATGCTGGTGGATGACTTGGCCTTGGCTGGGCGTCCGGTCACACTCGACGACTAGAATATATACATCTTCCGTGGTTTGCGGCCGGAGCTCCGTCCTCTTATTGCGCCGTTGACGCGCGGTCCTCCGGTAACATTAACTGAACTTGCTGATTATTTAATTTCCCAGGAGTATATTTGTGCGGCTGGTGGCGGTGATTCTGGTGCGCCGGCTGCCATGGCAGCGCGACAAGGTCACGGTGGCAGCAGCTACTACCGTAGTGGTGGTGGCTCGAGCGGTGGTGGTCGCGAACGAGGAGGCCTGGGGCGTGGTCGAGGTCGCTCTCGGTCTAATGTTCGTTGTCAGATATGTAATAGTCAGGGACATTCTACGCTAAATTGTTATCGTAGGTTTTCTGAGTCGCCTGGACCCCAGACACATATGACTTATTCTGCTGATGATGGTGGTTCTGTTAATTCTCATCAGTGGTTTTCTGACACCGGTGCCACCAATCATGCTACGTCTGATTCTTCTGTGATGACTTCTGCCGTTGGTTATGACGGCCATGACACTCTACGAGTTGGCAATGGTACAGGTATGCCTATACTTAGTGTTGGTTCTGTATTGATAACATCTCCTTCTAGATTGTTTAAATTGAATGATGTTTTGCATGTTCGCGGTCTGTCATCTTCTTTGCTTTCTGTTCAGAAATTTGCTAGGGATAATCGTGTTTTTTTTTAGTTTCACCCTACATGTTTCTTTATGAAGGATCTTTTGACTAGGGAGGTGCTTTTTAAGGGGAGTACTTCGGGCGGTTTATATACTTGGCCTACTTCGTGTCATAGTCTGTCTGCTTATGTTGCTACGCGTGCATAGTCGTCTGTTTGGCACAAGCGGCTTGGTCATCCCCACACTCGGGTTCTGCGTCAAATTTTACAGTCTTCTGGTGTTAGTCAATTTAATTCTAGTGATTTGTCAAATATTTGTTCTGCGTGTCAGTTAGGGAAGTCTTCCCGTTTTCCATTGCCTCGTGTTGTCACTTCGAGTACTCGTGTCTTAGAACTTATTTATACTGACATTTGGGGCCTTGGGCCAATGCACTCTGTGAATGGTTTTCGTTATTTCGTATTATTTGTGGATGATTATACGCGATATGTATGGTTTTATCTTATGCGTGCAAAAATTGATATTTATTCTATCTTTGAGCATATTCGGTCGCTTGTTGAGCGTTCGTTTTCCCATAAAATTATCTCTATTCAGTCTGATTTAGGGGGAGAATACAAAAAGCTTCATTCCACTTTTGAGTCTCTCGGTATTCGTCACAGGCAGTCCTATGCGTATACGCATGAGCAAAATGGACGAGTAGAGCGTAGGCATCGGCATATAGTCGAAACTGGGTTAGCATTAATGGCTCAAGCGTCTATTCCCTCTTGTTTTTGGGACTATGTGTTTGAGACCACTGTCTACTTAATTAACAAAATGCCTACTCGTGTGTTCAACGATGAGTCTCCTCATTTTCGTTTGCATCGTTCTCCTCCGTCTTACTCTTTCTTACGTGTTAGTATCGCTGTTTAGATACTAACACTAATAAGGTTTTTATCTGTCGCCATG